GGGAGACTGGGGACGTTGCAACTTGGCCAAGGGCGGTGCTGCGGCGGCGACCGTCTACGAGGCACAGGAGGCGACGAGACCGCTGCTGGCCCTGGCGGACCAGATGGTGGTGGACCGCGTGAGCCGCGGTAGGCACGTGTTGCTGGAGCAGCCCCTCGGCTCCAGCGCTTACAACGAACCCGAGATGAAGAGGACCAGAGAGCTCGTCGAGAAGGGCGTGCTGCTTGAGTGCACTCCCCATGGCTGCATGCTCGGCTATGCGGACCAGGAGACGGGCGAGCCGCACTACAAGCCGAAGCGGTTCCTTACCACAGCGGTCGCGGTCTACGAGGCGCTGCGTGACCTGAAGTGCGACCACAGTCACGACCACGTGCCGCTCGAGAACGAAAAGAAAACCAGGGCCGCGGCCAGGTGGCCCGACAAGCTCGACAGGCTCGTCCTGCACGCGATCGAACAGCAGATCGACCTGGACGCCAGCGAGCACGTCATCGAGGGGCTTGGCGTGGTGGACTGCTACCCGACGGAGGCGACGCAGCAGCTGCTCCCGGAGTCGAAGCGACGGCGACTTCGAGGCAAGCAGCGGACGGCGAGACGCTCCGCCCCAGAGGGCGAGCGGCCTACCCAAGAAGGCCCCCCACGAGATGGAGTTCCAGATGAGGACGGGCCCGCGGTGGACCCGGCAGGCGTCAGGGCCGAGGCGGCGGCGAACCTCGAGCCCACGCTCTCCCCCGAGGAGACGGAGAGGCGAGCGCGGTGGCTGGCAGTCGACCCAGCGGCCAGACGCGACATCCGCAACCTGCACGTGAACTTCGGCCACCCTACCAACGTGACGCTGGCGAGGTGCTTGAAGAGATCGGGAGCGAAGAAGGAGTTCCTGGAGGCCGTCTGGGACTTCAGGTGCGACGCCTGCGGCGACATGATCAGGACGAAGCATGTCCGCCCGGTGCGGATGTCGGGACGCTACCAGTTCAACTTCCACGTGATGCAAGACACCCTGTTCGCCCACGACGCTACGGGCGGCACCCACGCGTTCCTCAACATCGTGTGCGACGGGACGCGGTTCCAGGTGGTCTGGTACCTGCACAAGGGCACCCACGCGCCCTCGGCCAAGGTCGCGCTGGACGTGTTCCTCATGGTCTGGTGCAGCTGGGCCGGACTACCCCAGTCGCTGTTCGTGGACCGTGGCAAGGAGTTCGCCAAGCAGTTCGTGGCCCACATGTTCGAGAACGGTGTCGAGACCGAGAACGCGGCGCTGGAGGCGCACGAGCAGCTGGGCAGGATCGAGCGGCTGGGCGGCGTCTGGAAGGAGGTGTGGCATCGCGTGGTGCAGGACGCGCAGATTACGAAGGAGCAGGACCTACGGACGCTCTGCGGGATCATCAACCAGGTTCGCAACGAGACGGTGATCTACGACGGCTACGCGCCGTCTAACTGGGTGCTCGGGACGCGTGGCCTACGCATCCCCGGCTCGATCCTGCAGGACGCCGAGTCGGAGAAGCTGAACGTGCAGGAGGCAGCGCTCGACCCCGAGTCCGCGATGGCCTCCAATCTGCTCTGGCGCGAGGCGGCCAAGGTGGCCTTCGTGAAGATGGATAACGACAACCGAGTGAGGAGAGCGAAGCTAGCGAGGTCGACACCTACGAGGGGACCCTTCCCAGTCGGAGCCTACGTCTACTTCAGGAGGACGCACGTCAGGCCCGGCGAGTCCCCGGCGCTATTCCACCGCTGGTTCGGCGTCGCCCGCGTGATCGGCCACGACTTCCGCGACCCCAGCAAGATGGCCGACGGGATCAACGCTACGCTTCGACCTGCTGCCGTTCAGGGCAGCCCTCACACGGTTTGGCTACGGTATGGTGGCGGTACGGTCCTGGCGAGGCCCCAGCAGCTGAGGTTCGCGACGGAGGACGAGCTGATCACCTGGGACCTGATGCCAGCAGATCAGAGAGGCGCTGCTCTACCCCGAGGACCTCGCGGATTCCTGGACGTACGACGTGAAGGACTGGAAGAGGGAGCTGCTGAGTTCCCCGAGGAGGCCCCGCTACCAGGCAGAACAACGGCGGCAGCACCGAGTGCAGCCGCTAGTGCTCCGAGCCACACCCCGGCACCACAGGTGGCCGAGGGGGCCCCGGGCGGGGGACTTGGTCCCGGCGATCCTGAGCCCTTGAGCTCTGCCCCCGGAGGCCATGGCTCGGAGCCGAGTGTGGCACGGCAGGGCGAGGATCTCACCCCACTGGCCCCCGTACTTGAGCCAGCCCACGAGCGTGGATCCGTACCTGGCGAAGACGTACCGGTGCCCGATGATGATGATGATAACCGAGGTGGTGAGATCGATCGCGATGACGATATCCAACCTGAGCCTACCACCCCTCCTCCGAGATCCCCTGGAACTGGCGAGTTTCCGCCTGGCTCCCCGACCTACGGGCCAGAGCGCACGCCGCCGCGGCGGCAGAGAGGAGGGCCCATGTCTGGAGCCTTCCTGGCGGAGCCCGACTCGGACGCTGTCTTCTACGCCTGGATGCAGTACGCCTGGCAGACCGGCAAGTCCAGAGGGAAGGAGTTCAAGCTCGCGGACCTCACGAAGGCGGAGAAGCTCCTCTTCGATGCGAGCATGGCCAAGGAGTGGGACAACTGGCGTAACTTCAGGGCGGTGACCGTGGTCACGGGCGACGCGGCCAAGGAGATGCTAGGTCGGGTCAAGGCGATACCGTCGAGATGGGTACACACGAACAAGAACGAGTACGACCCGAAGCTCCCTCTAAAGGCGAAGTCCAGGCTGGTGGCGGTCGGCTGCTACGAGTCGGTCCACGTGAGGACGGACTCGCCTACGTCGTCCCTGCTTGTGTTCCACGTGATCTGCAGCACGGCGGCCAGGAAGCACTGGCCACTCTACAAGCTCGACGCCACGAGTGCCTACCTGCAAGAAGACGACGTCGACAGGATGCTCGTACTGCGACCTCCCTCGCCACTACCACCAGGAGTTGAGCAAGGATCGGTGTTCATCTGCCACGGCGCGATCTACGGCACGAAGGGCGCTGGAAGGAAATGGTGGAGTAAGCTACGAAGGACGCTGCGCAGCAACTCGTGGCAGGAGAGCCGCTTGGAGAGGGCGTTCTTCCTCCTGTTCGAGCATGGCAGGCTCGTCGGCCTTGTCGGTACCTACGTGGACGACCTGTTCGCGACGGGTGGCCCCAACAGCGACCTGTTCAAGGCCACGACGGACGAGCTCAAGCGGGCGCTGCTGCTGACGGAGGAGAAGCCGCCCTTCAGGTACTGCGGCAAGGATGTCGAGCAGATGGCGGACTACACGATCAAGATCAGCATGACGCACTTCATCGACCAGATGGAGGCTGTCGTGATGTCCCCGGCCAGGGCGAAGCAGACCAAGGCGATGGCTACGGACGAGGAGCGGAGCGCTGCGGAGTCGGTGATTGGCTCACTCGGATGGCTATCGAGGCAGCTCCGCATGGAAGTCTCATTCGGCTACAGCTGGCTGGCGCAGCAGAAGAACCATGCGACCGTGCAGCACCTATTAGAGATGAATAAGCTGGTTCGCTACAGCAAGGAGACGCGTGAGGTGTGCCTCTGCTTCCGCAGCGACATTCTACATAACGACGAGGACCTACGCTCAGTCGTGTTTGCGGACAGCAGCCTCAACAACATCGACGACTACGACCTGGGCCCGATTGGCGAGAAGGTGAAGTCACAGCTCGGGTTCGTGTGCCTACTCAGAGACGACGGCCTCTACAAACATCAAGAAGGGCCAGTAAATTTCTTGGACTGGGGAAGTTCACGTATCAAGAGAGTTTGTCGAGCGTCGATGGGAGCTGAAGCACACGGACTCAGTGAGGGAGCTGAAGCACTGGAGTGGATCCGGGCGCTGTACTACGAGATGGACAAACCCAACCAGCCGCTGGGCGACCTGGTGGACGACGCTGCGACCCTGATCCCAGCCAAGTGGTTCGATGATGCGAACAGCCTAGTCACCCACTTGCTCGCGGATGCTGGCCAGATCGCAGATCGTCGAGTTCGAGTGGTCATTGCGGCCCTACGAGAGATGCTCAGCCAAGACGGTGTGGACCTGGAGTGGTGCGACACCTCTGTTCAGCTGACGGACGCACTGACGAAACTCGAGGCCGAGAGAGGCTACCTGACTATCGCGATGCACGACGGCTACGTGAGCGTGAAGGTCTCTGCCGAGGCGGCCTCCGCGAAGGAGGCGATACGGGCGGCACGCCACAGGCGTGCGAACGAGCGTCGGGCCCTCGACGCTCAGAGCAGAACCAGTCCCAGGGTGAGTGATGGCATGCAGCAGGCTACTTTCTTGTGCGAGTCGGGGTCCCCGACTCTGTTTCGCGGCGCTTCTGCGCCACTTCCGCCGAGATCGGTTTCACGGACGCTGGCTTGAGCGGTCGACCGATCGGTCTCGAACAATGTAGCTTGGATGATCGAGGACGGGTGTTGAATTGCATCTGCGATCATCCCTTTCCCAGCCTGCCAGTGCCGCTGCCCCTCTCACCCGCTCAGACCGCTGACGTTTGGTTCACAGAGCTCTTGAGTTTACGGCGCAGAAAACCAGAAACGATCGCGGGCCGCGGCCCGCTACTTGATCCTCCTCCTTCTCATCATCATCAGCATCATCACCATCACCACCACCCTCTCCTCCTCCTCCTCCTCCTCCTCCTCCTCCTCCTCCTCCTGCTCCTCTTCCTCCTCCTCCTCCTCCTCATCCTCCTCCTCATCATCGTCATCAGCATCATCATCAGCAGCAGCATCAGCATCATCATCATCATCATCATCATCATCAGCCTCATCAGCATCATCATCAGCAGCATCACCATCAGCATCAGTAACACCATCAGTATCATCAACACCACCACCACCACCACCACCACCATCACCACTATCACTCCTTGTCACTCTTGCCTCTACTTGCCGCCGCCACCTCCTCCTCCCGCCCTGCCCTCCCGCATCTTCCGCCCTCGGCACGGAACCGTGCTGACCTGCGAGGCCGCCTGCGTGACCGTGAGGGCCTGAAAGTAGTCGGCGACCACTTTCCTCACCTCCTCTTGAAACCTGACAGGGGGGGGGGCAGATGAAGCCGCCATCTGGGGGGGGAGGCGCACGAGCCTCCTCCTCCTCCTCCTCCTCTCCTCCTCTCTCTCTTCCTTTCCTCCTCCTCCCTCCTCCTCCCTCCTCCTCCTCCTCCTCCTCCCTCCTCGTCCTCTCCTCCTGCTCCTCCTGCTCCTCCTCTCTTGTCCTCCTCCTCCCTCCTCCTCCTCCTCCCTCCTCTCCTCCTCCTCCTCCTCCTCCTCCTCCTCCTCCTCCTCCTCCCTCCTCGTCCTCTTCTTCCTCCTCCTCCTCCTCCTCCTCCTCCTCCTCCTCCTCCTCCTCCATCCCTTGCCGCCTGGAGAATAGCCAGGAGGCGAGCCTCGAGCAGGCCCACGGGGTGGTGGGGCTCGCCCTCACCCGCCCTCTTGGCGTAGGTAGTCTAGGGAGGCTCCTCTTCCAGCCCCTTTTATTCCCCTTCGGGGAGGGGTTGATCACTGTTCCCTAAAACTATACCCCCCGCGAGGCGACCAGCGGCCAACCAGGGACCATGAGGGCACCCCCCCCACCATCCCTGACAACAGACGATGCAAAACGCACTCGGCCTCCATATTTGGAGCATGCGCGGCCAACCCGATGCGCCCCTCCACCCCCCACCACCCCTGTCACCATAACAGCACAAAGTACATTGGGGGCAAAGTCTGGAGTCGTGTTCGTGAGGCCCGCAAACACGTTGAATTGCTGTTTGGGAGGGACGGCCGGGGTGTCAGCATATTGCCTGCTGCGCGCAAGGCTACCATCCCTGACAACAAACCACAATACACATTGTTCCTCGCGGCTAAATCTGGATCGCGCGCGGCCGCCCCGTGATCACTATCAAGTGGTGGCCTATGGCCTACTGTCAGGCCCAGCACATACAATGATGGGCATTGGCTTTCGACATGGATGGTGGGGGCCGACATGTCTCCCGATGTGTGCTGTCACGTGCGCAGGAGCACCTGACACACTCTGCACGTGCCCCGAAAGTGGCGCACCTGGCGCGGCTGGAGTCTACGGCAAACCTGCGTCACGCGGAGGCGCGTGGCGCATCTGGCGCACCAGGCGTGTCTGGCGCGCTCGGGCCCCAGGGGTGCCTGGCGCGCGTGGCGCGCCTGGCACGCGTGGCGCACCTCGCACCAGCGTCGCGCACACGGGCTCGGTCTCGGTTCCAAGTAGCTGTCCATCCAAACACGAACGCTGAGCATGCTGAGGCTCGGGCGTTACTTATGTGTTGGGAGGGCGGGTGGGAGTGAGCAAGACGGTTTGCGGGCGGGTGGGTAGCTTGACCCCTCTCCCTACCCCCTCCCCTGGACCTGGACAGGGGGGGCGCGAGGCGTTGAAGCGTTCAAGATGGCCCAAGACGGCTCAAAGAGGGCCCCTGAGAGTCGTGGAGGCTCCAAGATGGCTCAAGACAGCGCTCGATGCCTCAAGATGGCTCCAAAGATGCTCCAAGAGGCTCCAAGAACGTTCCAAGACAGCTCCAAGAGGCGTCCGAGACCTCCAAGGAGGCCCCCAAGAAGCTAAATCCCTACAACAACCTAAGGACAATCAGTGAATGTTGCTTTCTCGCATTTTCGCTTCCGATGGCCATCCGAGGCCTCAAGATCGCTCCAAGATGGCCCAAGAGAGCCCCAGGAGAGGGCCAATATATCCCCAAGACGGCCCCCATAGCGTCCAAGAGCGCCCCAAGAGCGCTCCAAGAAGGGTCCAGGAGGCGACTGTCCGCCTTCTCCTCCTTCTCCTCCTTCTCGTCCTCCTTGCCCTCGCCCTACTCCACCTCCTCCTCCTCCTTCTCCTCCTCCTCCTCCTCCTCCTCGTCTCCTCCTCCCCCGACGACGACGACGATTCCTCCTCCATCCTCCCCCTCTTGGGTTGTATGACTGCTTCCCCCGTTCAGTGTTCCTCTGCATGCCCCCCCACGTCCCCGATCACCTCAACTCCCCTGGGCATCGTTTCTCGATGGGCTGATGGGCATACTTTTTTGTCAACAGCCGCAGACGAGAGCGCACAGCGGCGAGTCTGGTCAGAGCGGGGCGCGCAAAGACAAATTAACCTAAAGCGGTAGGCCGGAGCCTAACTGATGGGCATACGCGAAGCGTCAACCATTCTTTCGGTTGCGCGGGATGCGATGTGGTTTGCTCCACTCCCAACCAGAGCCTAGTATAGCGTCCTCCAGCCATTTTGATGATCCGCCACCGTGCATTCAGCACCTCGTGGAGTGCCCCAGAGCGCATGCAACTCTGAGAGGTAGAGGGGTTGTAAGGCTCAGGCGTTGGCAGAACTGGGTTTTTAGTGGAACCTGGTTTAGTGATGTGTACTGGGGGAGGCCCCCCCCGCCCCGTTCCACTAACCGGAACTGCCGTCACCCGGAAAACACCAGCTACGGCAGACCTGGTTTAGTAATTCTGGCCAATTCAAAGGCTCCTGGGCCCTACCAATGACTGGGTCCCCTTACCTGGGGTCCTGGCTATACCCAAAGGCTCTTGAGGGCTTGGACCCCCGGTTCCCCAGGCGCGCCCGGGCGATGCCGGCGTGTGTCGCCTGGCCCTCTGGGGCGGTGGCCCCGTCCAGCAGGGCTCCAAATCTGGCGAAGAGGGCCCCAGGAAGTCCCCAGCAGGGTCCGCGAGGCCTCCGAGACGACCCAGGAGCTCTCCAAGACGCCCAAGACACGTCCAGGACGCCCAAGATTGCCTGCAAACGGACCAAGAAACCTTCGAGTCGCCCCAAACAATGCCAAAGAGACTTCCCAAGAGGGCCCCGAGAGGCCACAATCATTGATTGTCATTTGGTTTTTGCATGTGATTTGGGTTCTCCGCCAATCTAGCTCCCGACGCTTCAAGACGTCACAAGAGGCCCCCACGACCGCCCCGAGACGGCCACAGAGGGCACGGCCTACCAAGAGTGCCCCAGGACGGATCAAGATAAGAGGCGCCCAAGATGGCCCAAGAAGCACGGAAGACGGTCCCAAGAGGGGCCCGAGGAATACAGATCGGGGCTAACTGTGTCCTCAGCCGCTGCTTGGCAGGGAAGAGGAGCGAGGAGGAGAAGAATGATGAGGAGATGGAGGAGGAGTGAGGAATACAGAGGCGGGGGAGGAGGAGAGAGGAAGGAGGAGGAGGAGGAGGAATGAAGGAGGCGGAGAAGGAGGAGGCGGAGGCGGAGGCGGAGGCGGAGGTGCAGGAGGCGGAGGCGGAGGCGGAGGAGGAGGAGGAAGAGAAGGAGGAGGAAGATGAGGATGAGGATGAGGATGAGGAGGAGGAGGAGGAGGAGGAGGAGGAGGAGAAGGCGGAACGACCGTACCTTCCGTCCGCCCAGAAAATGCAAAAAAAAATAGCCTGGCGAAGGAGCCAACCATATGCAGTTGTGAGCGCCGTCGTTGTATGCACATTCGGAGGAGCTCCCTATAAGGCCACGAAACATTTGAGAGTTGTGCAACAAATTCTCCAGTGGGGGCATGCGAAAGCAGCCACTGGGGCCGTCGGTAAGATTCCCTGTTGGGCCACGAAACGCGTGATAGGTGTGCCAATGTAGGCGCGGTGGGCGCATGCGAACGCAGCCACTGGGGCCGTCTGTGGAGCTCCTTATGGAGCCGCGAAACGTGTGATGGGTGTGCCGAGATGGGTGTGAGTGACGACGCATGCGAACGCGGCCACTGGCGCCTTCGGTGGGGCCCCCTACGGGGGCCACGAAACGTGTGAGAGGTGTGCCCGAATGGGCGTGGGTGACGCATGCGGGCGGTGGCACTGGGGCCTTCGTTGGAGCTCCCTACGGGGGCCACGAAACGTGTGAGGGGTGTGCAGAAATGGGCGTGGGTGACGCATGCGGGCGGTGGCACTGGGGCCTTCGGTGGAGCTCTCTGTGAGGCCACGAAGCGCTGTAGTGGGTGTGCCGAAATGAGTGTGGGTGACGCATGCGGGCGGTGGCACCAGGGGCTTCGTCGGAGCTCCCTATGGGGCCACGAAGCGTGTTAGGGGTGTGACTACATGGGTGTGACGCATGCGGGAGGTGGCGCTGAGGCCTTCGGTGGAGCTCCCTATGGGGCCACGAAGCGTGTGAGGGTGTGCCGAAATGGGTGTAGGTGACGCATGCGGGCGGTGGCACTTTGGCCTTCGGTGGAGCTTCCTATCAGGCCACGAAGCGTGCGAGGGGTGTGCCGAAACGGGTGTGGGTGACGCATGTGGGCGGTAGCACTGGGGCCTTCGGTGGAGCTCCCTATGGCCTATGGGGCCACGAAACGACGAAACGTGCGAGAGGTGTGCCCGAATGGGCGTGGGTGACGCATGCGGGCGGTGGCACTGGGGCACTGTGGCCTTCGGTGGAGCTCCCTATGGGAGAACGAAGCGGGTGAGGGGTGTGCCGAAATGGGCGTGGGTGATGCATGCGGCTGGTGGCACTGGGGCCTTCGGTGGAGCTCCCTGTGGGGCCACGAAACGTGTGAGGGGTGTGCCAACATGGGTGTGGGTGACGCATGCGGCCTGTGGCACTGTGGCCTTCGGCGGAGCTTCCTATGGGGCCACGAAGCGTGTGAGGGGTGTGCCAACATGGGTGTGGGTGACGCATTCGGGCGATGGCACTGGGGCCTTCGGTGGAGCTCACTGTGGGGCCACGAAACGTGTGAGAGGTGTGCCAAAATGGGTGTGGGTGACGCATGAGGGCGGTGGCACTGGGGCCATCGGTGGAGCTCCCTGTGGGGCCACGAAACGCTGTACTGGGTGGGTGATACGCAGGGAGGGAGGAGGAGGTGGAGGAGGGTGAGGAGAACGGGGAGGAGGGAGGAGGGAGGAGGGGGAGGAGGAGTGACGCGGGGCGCTGTCTCTTCAAAACGAAGGCCCAACACCGCAGGATGGTTGGGAAACAGGAGGAGGAAGAGGAGGAGGAGGAGGAGGAGGAGGAGGAGGAGGAGGAGGAGGAGGAG